CCACTACAACGGACTTTTATTTCTTACCTTTTTTTATTCTTTGTGTGTTTTTTTTTTTTTTTTTTAGGACATTTTAATATAAATAGAAGGAATATTCTCATACTTTTTTTTCTCGAAATTTCCCAAAAATTTCACCAAAATTTCCCCTCAAATTCCCTTAAAAATTTTCCCTAAAATTTCCCAAATTTTTCCCAAAAAACTTTTCCCTCCCCAAAATGTATTTTGCTCTTTCACATAATTTGTTCATTTCGTTCATTTCCATTTGTTCATTCTAGAAAAAGGAACAATGCTTAATTTATAAAATGAAATTACTGCTAATTAAGTTTCATTTAAAACCAATTTTAGCAACTCATTAACCTTCAAGTAGTACTTGAAAATTCTGAAACATCACATTCATTTGTAACTCTATGAAAGATATTCTTCCAATTTTAGGTTTAGTTAATTAATCATAAATGTGCATTGCATGTTTAATTGCTATCCTTTGTTAACACTCAATACTTTATATTGCATTTTAATAAGCTATTTGATTTGAATGAAATGCAAAATTTGAATTTACATTTTCCATCCTTAAATATTATCATAAGCTAGGATATAGTTTATTTGATTTGCAAAATTTTTGTCACAAATTGTCACATATAATTATAAAAGTGCAATATTGATTAATCACTAGCAATGCAAATTTTCATTTTAAAATACCATTTAAAAAAAAAAAAAAAGCAAGGAGTGAAAATATGCTGAAAATGGAATTATGATCGATTTATATGCATCCTGAAATACCTCAAAATGAATGATAATAAATTTGTTTCAAAATGTTAAAATTATGCAAATTTAATTTTCGACAAATTAAAACGAAATTAATTACTATTCATTTACTAACCAACTATCACTGTTTCCAATCAATAAGTTAAATTACATTTACCTTTTTTAATTAATTAATTATCATCAATCAATTAATTACAAAAGCAATTTTTTTCCCTTTCTTTTTATTTGTTGTAATTAATAATCATTATTATGTCTTCTCATCATTTCTTTCATTAATAACATTTAATTTCATTTGCATTTTAATTATTAATCAAACAATGCCATGCACATTTTTTTATGCAAATTTTCTCTACCAATACATTTTTTCATTTTCATTTCTTCACCTCTAATTGTTTGTTTGTTTCTTTTTTTCTTATCCTTTAAATTGAATATTTTCATTTAATTTTTTGCTTATTCCATTACTAATTCATTTTTACATTTCTGTTATCCATTTTACTTTATTCCGTTAAGAATAAACGAAATTAATTAATTAACTAATTTTAATTAATTCTCAAATATCAATCTGTTTTCTTCTCTTACTTTATATCTTTTTTTCAGTACTTTTTTTATATGAATAATTCGAACAAAGTTTAATTTATGATTTCAATTTTTTTTCCCAATTAATAGGATGAAGTGATAAAATTGAAGTATACTCAAAGTATTTCTAATTACCTTAATTTAAAACATTTCTTGATTTAAGTATTTGTGTATTCGAATTTTCGTATTCGTATTTGATCAGAGATAATTCAATCATTTAATTCTCTTTCAATTGCAATGTCAATAAATATTTTAATTTTACAATATTTATAAAAATTTAGGAAAAAAAAGAATTGATTGCATTAATTTCGAAAGGACAATTAAAGTACATTCAATAAAACGTTTTTTTTTCCCGGAATTGAATAATTGTTAATTTCTCTTTGAGAATATATTTATGATTTTAAAATAGGAAAGAGGGAAAATATGTTATTTAATAGATAGTGAACGGGATAAACTGAAAAGACAATATCGCGTGACTGGATAGAAATTGAAGAGGAAATGAAGTGGACATGCTTGACTATTCCGATGGCAGCTGTAAAATTTTCATTGAATTTCGATGAATGAATTCATTTTATAATACAGATGAATGCCTTCAATCTTTCCTAATATTTCTTTTTGTAGTTCGATTAATTACAAATTTTTGTTTATGCAATCTCTTTCTCTCTCTCTCTCCTCTCTCTCTCTCTCTCCTCCTCTCTCTCTCTCTCTCTCTCTCTCTCTCTTAATAATCAGAAAAAACCGTTATTTTTGCAATAGTTACCAACCAAAATTCAAATTAAGATAGTAGCATTTGTTTTGCCTTCTTTAAATACCTCTTCATCACAAAATCAAATCCGCTAATAATTGAGGGAGTATTCTCTCATCTACTTTAATCAATCCCACTTGATGTAACATGAAGAGTGCAAATTACATTTTCCAAAAGTTTCACACTTCCCACCAATCATCGCGATTTTTCATCCCCGTTCCCTCCCTCGTTTCTTCCTTATTTTTTCTTCTTAACACAGTATTTAAAGCTGGAAGTAAATTACATGATCATTTGATATCATCAGTAAGGGATAACTGGAGAAAAAAAGGAAGAGAGGTAATTATAAGGATGGAAAATTAGAAAGATCATAAATGTGATAAGAAATAAAAGCAAATAAACAAACTGCTAAATAGAGAGTGGCCAAAATAATTTTCGCAAGCTCCAAATATCAACCTGATTACTTACCATCCTCCCATTTAGACATAATAATAAGAAAATCTGTAATAGATGTTAAACAAAATGATATCAGTGAGAGGAAAGAATAAGAAAGGAAAGGAGAGGAAAGGTAAGGAAAGGTAAGGTAAAGTAAGATAAGTTAAGGTGAAATGAGATAAGGTAAGATGAGGTGAGGTAAGGTAAGGTAAGGTAAGGTAAGATGAGGTAAGATAAGATGATGAAAGGAAATGAAATGAAATGAAAAGAAAGAAAAAGGAAAAGAAATGATGAGATAAAACAAACCGTTTCACATTAAGCACTTGAGATCCCCGAAGATCAACAGCATTGTCAAGTAGTTGCATTTTTCCTTTTTTTTTTTTTCTTCGTTTCAAATGTAGTAAATGATAAGAAGCAGTAAATTATAGATAATAGATAATACAAATAACAATAATAATAATAATAATAATAATAATAATAATTGTAATTATAATCCAGAAATTTTAATAATCGTATTTAATGAATATTTGTTGTTGAAAGAAGCAACAGAAAATGGAGTAACTGATAATGACTGATGATAATTCGATGTTAATAACACTACTCCAAACGTTGAAGACATCGGATGAAGCTACCGGAAAATAATGGCTAAACCGGAATTCTTTCGACCTTTTCCATAACAATGAAAAGGAAAGAAATTGATTCCTGATTATCCTCTCTATATTTTTCGTCTGTTTGTTTACCCGTTATCTTCTTATTGGCTCTTCTCTGTTTCTTTCATCTAATTCTTCATCTTCCGATGAGACTGATGATGATGATCAACTTTCAGTGAGGGTCGAGAAACCGCAGGAAGATGAAGAGGAGGAGGAAAAAGGAGGAGGAGAAAGAGGAGGAAGAGGAGGAACAGAAGGAAGAGGTACAAAATGGGTTACGTTGTAATCTACCATCCATGTGGATTATTCGATATCTCTCTTTACACCTCTCTCTCTCTCTCCCTCTCTCTTCTACCAATGATCATTGTTCATAATTACATTTATTACATCAAAATACAAATATATCATTTCATTTAATTTTCATTTTTTCTTTTTTTTTTTACTTGCTATATTTAAATTTGAAATGTTTTCCAAAAAAAAAAAAGGTCAACATAACAGAAAATAATTTATTTTTTCGATTGTATTTATACATCACATAATAGCAACAACAGTTGTTAAAAAATATAATTTATATTGTACAAAAATTTTTCAAATCAAAAATTTGAATTAAATACCTTTTTAAATTTTGAAAAGGAGAAAAAGATTTAAAAACGAGAAAAAAAAAAGGAAAAGATTATTTCTCAACAACCGATTGTTTGATATTGAAAATGCTTAGATTAATTGCATACAATGTACCACGAATAATATCATCATCTTATTTTCTTTCACAAATATAAAGAAGGAAATGAGAGTGAAGAAGTTAAAAGAGAATGAAAAATTAAAGCTTAAAAATGTTTGCTTTAGTTTGTTCTTTTTTTTTTTTTTTTTTTACTACAAATTTTAGTTTGTATATCTTC